ATTCATTCAATTGTTGTCCAGTTAATTAAATTTTAAAAATACATTTAAAAAGTATTAATTTACATGTTAACCCATAAAAATACAAATTAGACCTAAATTATAAAAACATTATTTTTATTTGCTCTATGACAATGTTTGACTGTAAAATTGTACTTAAATCAGTAAAAACATTTTTTTAAATTATTCTACAAACATTTGACATATTTTAAAGAAGAATGCTGAATAATTTTCACTGATATTTTACAGATTATTCCTGTTTTGTTAAATAACAGATCATTAAAATTATTTGTTAAATATTAAATTAAATAAATAAAATCACAGAATACATCAAAAAAAGACAAAACTATAACCATCCACATCAAACTTGTCATTTATACTGTCTTTAGATCAGCTTAAAAAAAGTCATTAGTTTACAGATATTTGCTTTTATTTTCACTATTTATAGTTTTGTACGTAACAGTATTTTAACTATATTTTAACGTATTTTCTCCGTTTCTGTCAAGATGTTTTATTTTAACGGTGTGAGAGTTTGTTAGCTCACCATCAGCCACAATAACAGCAAAACATCTTATTCTGTTGCACTGAAAACCTGCAGACAGGCAGAAAAGCCTCCCCTGATCAATACTTGTCTTCACAACACTTGTTCGTTTACACAATAACTTCACCAGGAAGCGTTTAATTACAGCTTTATGGGGCCTTTTCAGCGCAGGATTAAATCGTAAATACGTCAAATAAAAAGCTTTGTTATGGTTCTGACCTAACTTTTATTTTTCGCCTGATAACTCGACGCTCTGCAGCCGACGTGGTCAAACATTTACGAGGCGGCGGCAGCAGCAGCAGAGCTTTTAAATAAACATCATGCGCTGCTGCACAAACGGGCCGAAGCTGCAGCGACAATAATAAAAAAATCAACAGAAACAACGGAGCTGCTGCAGGTTTTCTGCAGGAGGCCTTGTGCCGACGCTGACGTCGGCTTTCTGTACATTTGCTGCGACGGGAACGTTTTCTAGTGTAAATCCTTCAGGTTTGATCCACCTACAGACACATAAAGCAGGGTTTGATCTGACATTAGAGGAGGTTTGGTGAACAAATGGAACCAATTAAACCCTGAAAACAAGCGAGGATTGTTTTGTACAAACACCGATTTTAACATTTAACTAAAATTACAGATAATTTTTTATAACATCACAGAAAAAAAGATGCATGAGTTCATGTGTTGACCACAAAGAAACTGTAGATAACGTCCACAACAGACATCTGGATTTTTACCGACACATAATTCTCATTCGAGTGCTTTCTTTATACTGTACGTGTTGCTTTTAGTCAGATGAACACTTGCCCACCGTGTGAATGCAACCTGGGCTGATGCTGCTTTTATTTATGGACTTGTCAAGCTTTCTGGCAAATATCCAAAAAAAAACTAAAATTAAAACACAACATAAATAAATAAATAAATAAATAAATAATGGAGCTTAAGCTTTCCAAAGTTGATTTTCTCTAAATTTACCCCCAAAACTGAAATAGTGCTGCAGTGAGTCTATCTGAAAACCAACCAAAGCAAAGTTAAGTCAGTAAATAAATACAGCACACTGTAAAACAACAATAACGATAATAATAATAATATTAATAATAATAATACTAATCTGAAAAAAGCAGGAATCATAGCAGCAATCAACCACATAAGGCTGTAAAAACAAAATGAAGATATTTTACAGCTGTTTTAAATACAGTAAAAAAATAAAATAAAAAAAGGGTAATATTATCTATAATATTATTATTATGGTCTCACGTTGTAAAATAAGAAATGAACGTTTGCAAAAATACAGACTCTTGATTTGGACTGTTTTTTAATAGGTAGATTAATTTTTTTAAATTCTGTGAATTTACTGGATTTTTTTCCTATAATTTATCAAAACAGGAGAAAATATGTAAAATAAAATAAAAATAGTAACAACAAAAAAAATATACAGACTTTTGATGTGGACATTATTTACATTTAAAGGTTAACACGTAAACAAATAAATACTCAGATTTGACTAGTTATGTGTAATTTAACCAAACAGGGTAAATTGCTAAAATAATGCTGAAAAACTTTCTTTTTTTTTAAAAATTTATTTATTTTACAGTTGGGTTCACGTCATCAGACGTTTTATTTGATTTTCTCATTCTTGCAGCCCCTCAGGTAGCTCAGCTATGGTGACATCTATTGTTTGCTGGATAACATGTGAATTAGTCGACCCCTAATGCAATAAAGAAAAGAATCTGTGTTCTCTCACAATAAACCGCCACACAGAGCAAAGCAAAGCAAAAAAAAAAAAAACAACTTAAGAATTCCAGACATAAGCCATTAAAGGGATTTGGTGTCAAAGTCCGCGGGGTCTTAAGTAACTGGTAAAGATGAAAAACGAGTCCCCGAGAAAATCTGCCCTCCCCTCCGCTCTGTGTTGTTCTGTGTCATGCTCGGCACTTTAAGCCTATTACGCTGATGGATTTCTGTAAGAGCCGCGAAAAAAAAAAAAAAAGGTAGCTCACACCTCCAGAGCTGATTTCTTATTACAGAAATGTAAATGTGCATCCTGGGAGCAGCGCAGGAGGAAATAACCGATGTTCAGCTTCTGTTTGCATCCAAACTGTGTAAAGTGTTGATGTGCATTGAAAACACACTTTTAGATCCTTTATAACTGATACACTGTCGTTTTTATCGCACCAAACGTACGACGCAGCGTCCAACCTCGTAAGATTTCTGAGCTTGAAGGTCATGTGATGTGACTGACCACTAAATAGACGTTTCCTCCACCTCTGAACTTTCTGAACAACATGACAGACGTAGAACCCGACTGATTTCACTGCAGTGCTCTGACTTCCACTGATGTCACTGTGAGGTTCGGCTGTGACGGTCGCTGTGGTTTTCCATCATTTCGGTCAACTAATAGCTTCCACTCTTTCCATAGCAGCGTTTCAGAGTGCGGGCAGCCATTGACCACCATATTTATGACTGCAAGGATCAAATAAGTGTCGACTGGTTCCCAGTTATTCCACCATGAGTCTTCATTTTGACTACGACACTGGCTTCCAATAAATACAGCGTGTGACCGTCAATACAATCATTGATCTTCGTTTGTTTTATTCTACGGTTCCACTATGCAGGCAGCTATTAGCTCCCATTCGTTTTATTACAGCCACCAGTTATTTCACTACCAAGTTCAATCTTCCAGGCAGCGACTGACAAACACTCTTTTCACTCAGAGGTTTTATTTACCAGACAGCTATTAGTTTCTATTGATTTTACATTCATTATCACTATTCATTATAGTGGCCAGTCAATGCTCACCATTTATGTTACTGTAATACTGACGTGGGTATTTACTGGCCTCCACTTATATCACTGTACACTTAGATTTTCCAGGCAGCTATTGGCTTTCAATCATTTTGCTATGAGGTTTCAGACTGCTATTAGCAGTAGCTAGCTATCAACCATTTCATTACGGCAGCCATTGACCGCCATTTATTTGACTGTCAGACTGCATTGTGAAGCTATTGGCTTCCAATTATGTCATTATGTGGTCAAATCTTCCAGGCAGTTTCTGGCTTCCATCCGTTTTATTTTGCAGCTCCAGTTTTCTGCCAGCTATTGATTTCCATTAATTATATTTAGGTGTTTACCACTACAGGCAGCCACTGACCTCACCCTGAGGGCGAGCTGTGTCGATATCGGCTTCCAAATATTTCACGAGGTTCGATTTTACAGGCAGCTATTGGCTTCTATTAATTATACAATTAAATTTTTGTTTTCCGACAGCTATTGACTTCCACTCAACACCATAGACAACCAGTGGCAACTATTTATTTTACTGTGAGACTAAATTTAATGGTTTCCGATTGTTTTGTTATGAAGTGAAATTTCCCAGGCTGCTTCTGGCTTCCATTTGTTCTACTATCAAGTTCGCGTTCTCAGACAGTTATTGACTTCTACTCTTTTTTTGTGACGTTCTGCATATAGGCTGCTATTGGCCACCGCTTATTTTACTGTGAGACTGAACTCCACCTGTTACTGGTTTCCAAACATTTCACTACGAGGTGCAGCTTTACCGGCCTCTATTTACTTCAATAGGAAGTCGGGGTTTTCTGGCAGCTATAGACGTCCATTAATTTCATGATGGTGTTCAACACTATAGGTAACCATTGGCTTCAACTTAGAGGGTGAGCTGTGTGGCTTTCCAAATATTTCACTACGATTTCACAACTTTACTGGCCTCTATTTATTTCACTATGAAGATCAGGTTTCCAGACAGCCATTGACGTCCATTCATACTATTATGGTGGTCAACATTGTGAGCAGTCATGAGCAACCACTTAGTTCACTGTGAGATGAAACTCCACCTGTTCACTAAGTGGTGAAAGTTCCCAGGCAGTTTCTGACTTCCATCCTTCTTTCTTTGCATTTCAGAACTTCTGGCAACCATTGACGTCCATTCACGTCATTTTGGAGTTCATCGCGACAGACAGCCATTGGCCACCACGTACCTCACTCCGAGGGCGAGCTGTGTGGCTATTGGCTTCCAAATATTACACTACAAGATTTGATTTTACAGCCAGAGCTCTTGTTTTCCGACAGCTATTGACTTCCATTCATACTATTATGGTGTTCAACACTGTGGACAACCACTTGTTTTACTCTACAGTTACTGGCTTCCAGTTGTTTCACTGAGGTCAAGTTTTTCAGGCAGCCATTGGCTTCCAGCACCAATGCATGTACAACATATGCAGATAAAACCAACTGTGCATGCGCCCTGTGCAGCCGGGCAGAAAGGTGGTGTAATAAACTACAACTACACATCCACGTCTGAGTATAACGAAGGTTTTAGGAGAAAAATCAACCCTCTCCAGCCTTTACAACACAGTGCACGTTTTGCTGTAAACAGAGCAGCTGATCGAGCACAGGTTTTTTTACGAGCCATGCACGTCATCCGGAGGTCAAAGGTCACCTGCACCTGTCTTACCTGTCTCTGGGGTCGATCCAGCTCGTGCACTGGTTAACGTGGTCGATGTAGTAAACTTTGCCATCAAAGTCTCTGGCTTCCTCCCAACCGTCAGGTAGTGGCAACTCCTTCCTTGGCATGTCAGGCGAGTCTCCATGTAATTAACTCCTCTCTACTCAAAATCACAACGAAGGGAAACCATCGCTTCTCTCTGTCTTCATCTTCATCATCACCAATGAAATCAGCAGTTAATCCCGCAGCTCCCGGTCTGGCTCTGGCTGGATTAGGCCATAATAATAACAATAATCCATAATAATCCACAGACTGATAATGAATCAAGCCGTGAGGATGCACTCGTGCACCCAAACATCTCACGTTGAGCTACAAAGCGTCCGGAGCCGAGGCACCGTTTTCCAGCATGTTTTCGCAACTTTCCCAGAAACTTTGCGGCGGCCTGCGGGACAACTTTTCAATTATCGCCGCTCCACGGAGCACAAGCGGCGGCTGTGAGCAGAGCGCCGCGTCCCGAAAACCTCCAAAGACGACTGGAAATGTTAAAAATGTAGAATAAAAATAAAATGTCCGCAGCCACCGTAGTTCACACGGACGCTCCGAGCGCCGCTAACAATCCGCTCCGGACCGGGCTCGTCTCGTCTCCCAGCCAGCAGGCCACCATGTTTAGCGGCCGTAACCGACGCTAGCCGCCCGCCGCGGGGGGACGAACACTCCGAGCGGCCGCCCCGAGCGCTGAGGAACCGAGCAGAGCCACCCACGGCCGCGGAAAACAAAGCCAGGCGAATCCGCCACAAACTTCTCCGTCGCGTCGGTAAATTCTCCGTTAGGCACCGGACGGAGGTGGGGAATGGAGGGGGGGAAGCAGCGGCGGCAGCGGCGGTAAACTGTCTGTCGGTCCCGGTGATTCGGTCAAATCGCCGTCAAGTTGCCGGAAGTCACGCCGCGCCGCATCCTGTTTCACAATAAGAGACTTGTAGACACGTCCGGTCAGCAAAATAAGAGTTCCAACAACAACTAAATGCAGAATATCACAAAGCTTGATTGTAAAGTTAATCACTGTGTGCAAAGAAAAAAATCATTTTGACTGCCTTTTTTTATATGTGTGATTTTATTAAAATATTTTAAATGAGTTTGAACAAAAGCAAGAGTTTTCATAGCACCTTATCTCACGCAGAGGTGATTCAGTGATTTACCAGCAAATGTTAAAAAACGCAAGTAAAATATAAAATACAAACATGTTAAAGATGAAATCTAAACAAAAAAAAATGAATGTGTACAAAATAAGAGATAAGACATGAAATACAAGCAAAAAAAATCTAAACGTGAAAGATAAAATCCAAACAAAAATTAAAATAAAATAGAAACCATAAATTTAAACATGTGTTGTTTTTTTTTAAATCTTTTGGATGCTACATTTTTTGTTTGTATTTTGTGTTTTACATGTTTAAATTATTTATTTTTATTTAAATTGTATAGTTTAAGCTATTATATTGTATTTAATATATATATATACAAACAACAAATCAAAGCATGTAAAAGATTTGAATAGTTATTAAAAGATTTTGAATGAATTTGAAAGCAAGCAATGAAGTTTTTTTTCGCACCTAGTTATTATTATTATACTTAATAAGAATAGTAACAAAGGGACCTCAGTCTGATACCAAATGTCTTGTTTTTGTCCTTCTAACAATCCACAACTCAAACACTTTCAAATTGATATAAAATCAGTCAAATCTGTCAAATATTGATCAAATATTTGACATTTTGTCCAGTAAAAGACCTAAATGATGAGGAAAAGTTCTGATGCATGTCTTCAGCTGATAAACCGATGAATCATTGCAGCTCTAATGATAAATTTAATCATTTGTAGATGTGTAAATAGTGTAAATGTGATTTTTAGGAATGATTAATTCTCAAAGAAATAAAAAGAAACACTTGCAGTGACTTGTAAAAGATCATTTGAATCACTTTTTAAGTAGAAATTCTCTCTTTTCAATAAACCGGCTGCACTCTCACCACTGATAATAAAATAAACTTGGTTTTGTACGTTTAATGTTTCATTTATTCTTTTGTTCATGATTATTGTTGTAATTTGTCACCTTTATTTTTTTTCCAGTGGCTGTTTTTGACAGTTTCACTGTTTAAATTTCCATTTAATTTACTGTTTGCTGTTTAATAAGAAATACTCTGAATGCTGATTTTAGGTTTGACAGCTTCAAACGAACTTTAAAGCCGACAGCGTCCTCTGGAGGTCAAATGATGAACTGCTGAATAGATCTTCACACAGATTCCAGGTTTTTGTTTTTACAGTTGTTGTTTTTTTTTTTTAACTTGTTCTGAGTCAGATTTTGCTGAAACTTGCAGAAATGAGTCTCATCAGCTGTCTGCTCGCTTTATTAAAAAATAACTGTAGTAATAATAATTAACTGAGTTTGATTCTCCTGATAAACCTTTTCGTCCCAGACATCTTATACAACCGTCATTTGTTCCAAACTCCTCCCTGAAGCAGCTTTTGCAAATATTAATCTGTACTATGGTTTGTGTAGTTTAATTTCCCCTACTTCATTTTGTATTAGAAATAACTGTGTAAACTTTGGGTGAAGAACCAGAACAAATAAACCCAAAACTTCCTTTGAACAACAGTTATTATTTCAGATATTTTCTCTGTACATTTACTAACACTTATACAAATGCTTTCTCATTTTGAATCTGGTCTGCATTCATGAACATAAGCAATATTTGATCTCTGCACGTTTGTTTTCAAAGAAAATAAATTGTATAACAGGTAGGAAAACAGTGAATATCAAAGAAAAGTATCTGCTCCGTGATGTTTTTCTTGAAACGTTTCTCTTTACATTTAATGTTTTTGTGGAGATTTAATGAGCTGAGAGCGTGAAACCTGCAGAAATGTGCAAATATAAAATGTAGAAAACCTGACTTGACTCTAGATGGAGCAATTTATCTGTTTTTTTTCCTGAACATGAAACTCTTCAGTCTGTACAAACCAGTCAACGCTGTTCCCCCAAAACTTCTTTTAGCTGGCAGGAAAACAAACCCACCTCTTTTATGTCACCTCATATTCACAATCCTTCAGCTCTTTTGTCTTTTAAGTCCAGGTGGGGCTTCTGATGCCTTCAGGTCCTGTTGGAAATCCGCAGCTTTAACTAAACACTGGGAGGGGTGGCGGCCCTGTTGGCAGGCAGGGATTTCGTTGTTTTTGCCTAATTGTCAACAACCAAACATCTTTTAAGCTTCAAGTTTTTCTGACTTCACTTCATCAGGAGCCTGAAAAATTAACAACAGCGTTTGTCTTCAGTTTGCCACATTTTCAGTGGTGGAGTGTATTTAAGTACATGTACTTCATTTGTTCTGTACTTTATGGTTGTTTCTCTCTCCACGCCACGACATTGTAAACAGAAAATATTCCATATTCTATGGGATAATGACCAAGTGGAAGACACTGTTGAAAAACAGCTCATATTAAATCTGGACTAGAGTTCACCAGAAGGCATGTGGGTGTCTCTGAGGTCAACTGGAAGAAGGTTCTTTCATCTGACGAGACCATAACTGAGCTTTCAGCCATCAGACTATGTTTGGCAGACATCAGTTATCACAAACACACCATCCCCACCGTAGGGCATCATGGTGGCAGCATCATGATGGGAAGAACGATGGCCGAAGCATCATGAAGTGACGCATGGTAGTCGCAGCATTATGAAGTGAAACACGGTGGTGACAGCATCATGTTGTGTAGCATGGCGGTGGCAACATCATAATGTGAAGCACGGCGGTGGCAGCATCATAATGTGGGGATGCATCTCAGCAGCAGCCCTGGAAGGCTTGTAAAGGTAGAGGGTAAATGAATGCAGCAAAGTGTGGAGAAATGTTGGAGGACAATCTGACGCAAAAGAACTACGACCCGAGAGAACATTTGTTTTCCATCAAGACAATGAGCCGAAGCAAACAGCCAAAGCGACACAGAAATGGTTTAAAGACAACAAGGTGAATGTTCTGGAGGCCCAGTCAGAGTCCAGACCTCAACCCAACTGAGAAATTGTGGCTGGAATGAAAAAGTTCTGTTCAGTCATGGTTCCTGTGCAACCTGCAACCTGTTGGAGCAGTTTTATAAAGACGAACGACGGAAAACTGCTGATCAACACAGGCTCAATGCTGAAGCTACTAAATAACGACTCAAAGGGGGCAAATACTTATTATGTTTACAATGATTCAATGCTACAAAAGGGGAACACTTTCAAGATGGGTGAATATTTTTAAAATAATACGACACAAGAGGATGATTCTTGTGTCTGAGCTCACAAAATAACTGGACACAAAATAAGTGATTAGGAAGAAAAATAACAAGTTTGCCTAAAAACAATAACGAATGCGATTATGCTTCCAGTTAATTACCTGCTGATGCACCTGACTGTGCGAGAGAAGAGCTCAAGTTTCCGAGCCGCACCTGAACGCAGCAGTTTTTTTTTTCTCCTCCTGCGCGTCTGGAAACAACAACAGTCGGAGCCGCGGATCACATGTGTGCGTTCAGTCCGCGGTCACATGTAGCTCCGGCAGCGGCTCCGCAACGACACCCAGCAGCAGCAGCAGCAGGCAGCCGCGGCAGACCCTCTCCTCGCTGTCGGCGTCCAGCACGCAGCGACCCCCGCTCAGCTCCACCGGCTCCAGCCGCCGATCCGTGCGCTCAACATATGGTTCTGCTCCGGCACATCTCCATCGCCCTGACCGCCGCCGTGGCTGCCCTGGGCTCCGCGCTCTTCCTCGCCCTCAACTACTTCTACAAGAGGCGAATATGGTCTCCACAGGCGGACTACTGCACCATCAAAGAGGCGAGGAACCGTCACACTTTATTTAAGGCTTTTCTCTTATTTTTACTCAATTAAAGCAGCTCAGCGGACAGAATGAATGAAGGAAACGCTGCAGAATTCAGATGAATGAAATCATGATGATGGTGATGATGATGATGATGACTGTGATGATATGAATTTTGACAATGAGGAAGATGATGGTGGTGAATAACTGACTGATGGTGATGAAGCTGATGAACAAATGGTTATAGAGGTGGTGGTGATGATGAAGATGGTTTAGATGTGAGGAGGAAGAAGAAGAGGCTGTAATAAATGAGAAAGTGGAAGATGATGAGATAATGATGAAGGAAATCAGTGATAAAATGATGTGATGTGCTGAAAATGATGAAGATGATGATGAGGATGATGGTGCCAATGGTGGTAGATGATGAAGATGATGGTAGTTATTGATAATGAACACGATGGGGGGTGGTCATTGATGAAGACGATGAAGATGGTGGTATTTGTGATGATGCCGACGATGGTAGTGATTGGGATGATGAAGATGATGGTGGTAACTGATGTTGAAGATGATAGTGATAGTTCTGGTGTTGATGAAGATGATGTGGTAATAGTTATGATGATGAACATGATGGTGGTAACAGATGATGAAGAAGATGGTGGTGTTTATGATGATGAAGAAGAAAATTATGATGATGATGATGGTCGTGGTTTTAATTAATGATGCAGAAGATCTTGGTAATTGGGTTAATGAAGATGATGGTGGTTATTGGCGATAAAGATGGTGGTAACAGATGATGATGAAGATGATGTGGTAATCAGTGATGAAGATGGTAGTAATTGGTGATGAAGGTGATGGTGGTATCTGGTAATGAAGATGATGGTGGTAATTGGTGATGAAGATGATGGTGGTATCTGGTAATGAAGATGATGGTGGTGATTGGCGATAAAGATGGTGGCAACAGATGATGATGAAGATGATGTGGTAATCAGTGATGAAGGGGATGGTGGTATCTGGTAATGAAGATGATGGTAATTGGTGATGAAGATGGTGGTAACAGATGATGATGAAGACAAAAATTAAGATGATGAAGATGTTGGTAACTGTGATGAAGATGTTGGTGGTAGTAATTGATGATGAAGATGGTTGGAATTGTGATGATGAAGATGATGGTAGTAATTGATGATGAAGACGAGTTTGTTAAAGTCTGTTTAACAAGTTAACTTTGTGTTTTGAACTTGACTAGCGAGCTAAAGCTAAAGCTACCAGGCTAAGAGGTCAGTCACAACCGTTCAGTGAGCAAACAACCAACTAGCGTAATGTAGAATGCGTAATGTTGGGAATGTCTACTTTTTCTCCTGACATTAAATGATAAAATTACAATATATAAACTTAACCATCAACTGAAAAATGAACTTAAACGACATCCAACATTTTCTGAAAACGTTAGCAAACCCACTGTTTTTGTAAACAGGAACCCATTTTAAGGCAACATATGCAAAAGTTTGTGCACACTGTTTCGGTGCACCGCATTAGGCAAAAAGATGCTTAGAAAAGGTTAAATATCATCCACAGCCTAAATGACTGACGTTGGCCTTTGCAAACAAACAGATTTTAGTTAATTTAAGGTTAATACAACCAATTTGCACACAACTATGAAGCTGGAATTGGTGAAATTCATTGTTCTTTAAAAATAAATCGCTAAAACAAGTAATTTGCTGATTACTCTCACTTATTTGATGAATTGTCTGTTCAAAACAATAATAAAAGGACTTTCCTGAAGCCTGAGCGGGCACCAGTAGATAAATTAAACCCTGAATTCTTCACATCTGACAAGTTGGAACCAATTGATTTTGGGCTTTTTTTGTGCATAAATAAATGACTTAATTAGCAAAATAACTGCAAAAACTGTGGATAATTAATAGATTAACGATTTAATTGACTGATTGTTTCGGCTCTAATTGCTGCTGCAGAGACAAAGCAGATTGTGTCGTGGACGGGGATTTCAGAACTAGAAAATGTACAGACTGTGTTTCGTGTGGTTGTGTGAGTCTATATGTGTGTTTGCTCAGAGGATTGCAGACGGACAGAAGAAGACAGAAACGAAGCAGCAGGGTGATTTAATGAATGAGTCTTCAATGAAGCGCTACAGCTACAGCCGGAATCTCTTAATAAAATCTATTTGCATGTCTCTAATCTTGTTTCCTCGATTCAATCAGCAGCAGCCTGTAATGGGCTTAGCCTGCTTTATCTGCTCAGTTGCCGAGTCGTCGACGTCGGAATGTAAATGTTTCCGATCCCGGGAGTGAAAATGTACCGAGCCGCATCGCGATCACGTCTTTGGCGTCGGAAAGCAGGGGAGTCGACAAGCAGCGTGATTCCTGACCTCGGGGGACTTCGGGCAGGTGGGAGGGCTGCAACAAACAATCAGCCGCCGGATGAACTGAGCCATGGCGCGGGGCTTTATTTTTAGAAACCATGAATCACTGAATTTGGATTTTCCTTGTTGCGCTCACTCAGGGGGCACTTTGTCAGGAACGCCATGCTCATCCCGGGTCGGGCCTCCGTTTGATCTCTGTTGTTGTTGATGAAGATGCTGAGATTCTGCAGGGTAAAGCTCATGAAATGCAACTCCA